ACACATACATGCACACGCACACACATATTTATATTTATATATATATATATATATATTTCTATAAATATATATACACACATGCACACACACACATTTATATATAGTTATATATATACATCAAGCCTTAATAAGGTTTAATAGCCCGGAAAGACTTTATGTATATATATTTAACGCCCCAATTATTTTACAAATATTTGGGATGTACAAAAGCGTGCGGTTGCACGCCTTGTACATCCATGCCTAAAGTAATTTTTTTAGACACACTGACCATGGCAGTTGGCATCTTTTAACTTATAAAGCATTTCCATGATTCACGGCTAAAAGCTAAACTTATTTACTTAGAAAAAAATATATCAAGTTTAATTAAATAAACTACAAAATTTATTAATTAAAAAAATAAAATTAAAAAAAAATATTTTGTAAAAAAATATTTAAAAAATTAAATGTTTTTTTATAAAATTTTTATACAAGTTTTGTATTTTTTTGTTTCGAGCCGTTGTAGTATGAGATTTTTACTCCCATGTTTTTTTACTCCCCAGTAAAAATATCGTATGAAGTTTTTACCGCGGAGTAAAAAAAAGCATATGAGATTTTTACTCTCACTATTTTATTTTTACTCTCAAGTTGTTATTAGCGGAATTGCCTATCAATAAAACATGCACTCTAGATACCAAATATATCCAAAAGAAGTTTTAAATAAAGGCGATAAAGCCAATTTTAGAAGACAAACTAAGCAATTTATAGTTGATAATAATGAGTTATATCATTTAAATAAAACTGCAAAGGTATGCTATTATTTCAAAATGTTTTAATAGTTTTGCCATTTTGCAACTAGAATCTAGTCACCAAATAAACACGAATATTTACAAATAATTTATTTAATAAATAATGAAGATTAATTTAGTTTTGATTCTCATTATATTGATGGTTTACAGCTTCTTTTTTTTATAGAGAAAAGTTATTTGGAGTAGAGATGAACAACAAAACATAATAAAGTTTGTTCATGAAGGAAACGATGTCTCTGTTGAGTCTAAAGCTTTATCTGGTCATACAGGTATTAATAACACAACCTATCACATTCAAAGTAGATTTTTCTGGTATGGAATGATTAAAGATATTACAACTTATGTTTCCAAATGTGACCAATGCCAAAAGTCAAAGAACAGAAAACTTCAGTCGAAACCATTGCTGCAAAATATTTCAATTCCTAAAGGCAATATGAAGCAGGTAGGAATCGATTTAACACAGCTATCAGAAGTTAACGGTTGCAAATATCTGGTTGTATTAATCGACTACTTCAGTAAATGGGTTGAAGCAGAAGCACTTACCGATAAAACTGCTAAAGCTGTGGCTTTTTTTTTGTATAAACAGATTTGTTGACATGGCTGTTTTGAAATTCAAATAAATGACCAAGGTTGTGAGTTTGTAAATGAAATTTCTAAAGAACTTTACTCAAAAACAGGAACAATTCAAAGAATTACAAGTGCATATAATCCTCAAGCTAATGGATTAGTAGAGAGACAAAATCAAACAATTAAACGTATATTAGTAAAAGTGCTTGATGAGGCTGCTTTGGAATTGCCATACACTATTGATAGTGTTTTGTTTTCTTTAAGAGTTAGAAAGCACAAATCTACTGGGTTTTCACCGTTTGCATTGCTTTACCAAAGGGAAGCAGTTCTTCCTATTGATATAGATTGCAATTTAATTGACTTTAATGATAGTAACGCTCTTAGCAATGATGATTTCTCTAACAAAAAAATAGTTTCAGATACCTTTCATGCAATGAATAAAATGAAGAATAAAATTTTTGACAATGCTTATAAAAATATTGAAAAATCTCAAAAAAGACAAAAACATGATTACAACAAAAGAATTGCACCAAATAATGAAATTAGCATAAATAAAAAAGTGTTACTAAGAAATAGCAGACGTGATGATAGAAAAGGTGGTAAACTTGTAAAGCCTTGGACTGGACCATACATTGTAACTTCTATTTCTAGCACAAATAACTGCACTTTGTAAAATCTAAAGGGTCAAATTTTGAAAACAAAGTACAACTTGACAAAGTTATGTTTATATAATGAAAAAATAACTAATGATGAACAAGAAATCACATTTGATGAAATTAATATGCAAATTTCTAATGATAAGATCGGAAAATATGCAACTATTGAAATGAGAACTTCTATTTCTGAAAAATTTGGAATTGGTATTACCAAAAATATTTTTATTGCAGATATTAATCTACTTTCACGTCCGAAACAAATTCACAAAACCATAGGCGATGGTAATTGCTTTTTTAGGGCAATATCGTATATCATTACAGGCAGTGAATGCAGTTATGAAATTATAAGAGAAAAAGTTGTTAAACATATGTGTACTCATATTAATAATGAAATGACTTTATATATGAATCAATCAATAATAACGTATCTAAATGAAAGTGGTATGAGTGATAACACAACTTGGGCAACTGATGCAGAAATAATTGGGTGTGCCTTGTTCATGGGTATTGATATAAAAGTATATAGCAAATATGGAGAGAAGTTGAAATGGCTGACTAACCCATGTAGTTTAACACTTACACAGCTTAGTGAACATGCTATATTCCTTGACAATTCAACTGCAAGTCACTTTAATGTTGTACTGTTGTAAAATATTATCAAAAAAAAAAATAATTTATAAATTATCTTCTTTTCATAATTTTTAGACATTTTTTAAATATATTTTTATTTTAAGTCTGTAAACAAATGTTTTAAAAACGTAAAAATAAGCGAATTTACAACGGTATGTAGGAGAAGGAATAAAAATGTTTGTCTTTTTAAATTTGGTGGCAATACTTTTTCATATGCCTGACT